GTAAATTAGAATTTCCCGAAAGTAAATGGTGATCTAAAACTAAGTTGGACTTGAAGTTCATAGTTCCTCAACATTAGGAGACTATGGATCATTGACGGGATTCTTTCACGAAGAAAATCTGTGGGTACACCTCACCACAAGCAATGGAGGGGAGAGAACTTTCGAAAAGGGTCGAAATGTGCATTAACGTGTACGACATCAACAGTAGCAAGGTACTGGACAAGAAAACAAGAAAAACAAACCATTTTGCTCGAAGTAGAAATGACTATTTTTTCCTTTAATCATTTGGCGGGTGCTTGCTTTTGACTCGGTGAGGCGACTACTGTGCCTCAACTGCCTCCGCTGGTGGGTTCGCTTCATGATGCGGCGGTGCCTCACCTGGTTGCAAGACCCGGAAACCTTCTTCAGTCATGATGATTTGATGTGTAGGGGCGATTCTGTGGAATTCCTCAGCATAGTTTTCACCCGAGAACACTGTGCGTCTGTCACTGAATGACCTCGGGTCTTTGACGCGTTCATACTGGCTGTACATGACGACCATAGGCTGTAAAACATATGTAGCAAGAAGAGAACGATGAAGAGCATGAGACTAGATAGAGCATTTCGACCTCGGTAAAGAAAGTATATCTCCAGTTGACTCGGGAGCTATGAACTGGTGGGTTTTGTTTGGCTGCAGACACGAAACACAGATCTAGAAACTTCTCCGGCTTTAAAGAATGCTCGCCTGAGGTTTCCTTTATCGAACACTGGGTTTTTTTGGATACAACTCCACGCGCTGAACAGGAGTGGCTAAGTTTCTTATAAACGAAATTCGTCCTTATGATTGTGCGCAGTCTTTTTCTGGTGCGCTGATTGTTGATCGCGTCACTATGAATATTGGTGTAACACTTCTGAGAGGTAGCTGTCGAATTTAAGACGCCTAAACGTGGGTGAATATATGGGGACGGGATAAAACGATGCGTCGAACAAAAGAAAACATAACATTTATTCACTCAGCATAAAAAAACAGTTTATTTTTAAAGTTTGAGCAGTTTTTGATTTTTCACGTGCATCACATTTCCAAATTTACTGAAAAGGCCCATATTCGTGTGTGTTCACAAGGTGCGTTACTAGTCACAGACACATGTACTTTGGTGAATAACTTGGCATAATCAACACAGGTGATACAGTTAAAACACATCTGGAGAGAACTTCCTTCTCTCTACTAAAAATCAAATGTTGCAAATTTTTTAGCAGTGGATCTGAGGGGATCAAAACCGGGTTGCGAAACCCATGTCCGCCGCTTCATCCTCTGGTCCGCCCTCGGACGACTACCCAGTTGATTTCGTCAAAATCAGTATATATGCGTATACTGCTAAACGCTTTTTCTGTATACTTGTATCAGGAAGGTCAGATTCTTGAAAGCAACCACCGAATGCCCGAAAATCTACCGAGACTCAGCTCCGCTGGATGTTGACCAGACAGACAACGTCCCCTCAATATGCAGCGCGTCACAGCCTTGTATCAAACCCAGACAGCGCGAGTCAGCGTTGATCAAGGTCAGACAACGCCCCCGCAATATGCAGCACGTCGCAGCCAGACCGTGTGCGTCAGCATTGGCAGAGTTCAGACAGCGTACCCCCAATAAATAGCTTGAGACCGCTGTACGTTCGCGCTCGCACGCACTCACGCTCTCGCACCCGCTTTGTTGGAATATAGCTGCTGGGTTACCTTCCGTGAGTCTTTTCTCTCCGACATTAGGCACTGGAGCGGGTCAGCAGCAGATATCTCAGATCGGCGAACCAGCAGATATAACAACGTGGAACTGATTGACAGAAAAAATTCTTATTCATATAAATGGGATGGTCTTCCAAACGTTCCGAAACGGTAGCCTCTCTGTGACATTTAATCAAGCGCGTTTTTTAAATAAGTGAGAGTTATTACAGGCTGATTCTGAATGAAAGGTTATTGGGATGCAGAAGGCAGTGGGAAAATAATAATAATAATAATAATAATAATAATAATAATAATGGAAAGTAAGTGACTGAGAACGATCTATGCTGCAGTTACCAACACAGTGCATCAAAGTAAATTCAAGTAACTCTTGAGATACGACGACAAGGTGAACTAAGTTTCTGAAATGACCATCAGCCTGGCCACAACGGATTACTAAGAACAACGTAGCCAGATTGCCTCTGCCGACCTAACGTAGCTTATTTGCATTTGAAGATTCGGCCCATGGTCCCGTATTTAGCAGCCGTATCAGAAACGTTCGTCAGTGGTAAGCAAATACAAGAGAAGACAACAAATTCAGCCCCGGTTAGATGTCCCTGAGAAGGTCAGGATAAACTACCAACGACTCACCATCTGATTTATTCTGTCTAGAAATACTGGGTGGGTATCGGTTCCAAACACTCCGCAAGCTTGTTTTGTATCAGAAAACATCTTTGGGGTTAGAAACTATTTGAAAACGGAGCTGACTTCAATGCCAGACTCATGTCAGTACTCACTGATAGTCCTTGCTGGTGGTTCTTGCACAGAGGGTAAGTGATGGCTAGCTGTTGACAAGTTTTTATCAGCTTCACGGGTAACAGAGCACCAAAATAAACGGTAAACTTTCTTGAACATGAAATCAAATGAACTCTGAGATGGCCTTTGCACAGCATATTTGGTTCACAGGTATCAAAATTTATTGCTTCACTTGGATCTCT